GGGAAGGAGGGCCAGGCGGCCAGGTCGAGCAGGCAGGTTGCTGAAGCGTGCGTCCTGCATGAATCGCGAAGAATTCTCGAGCGATAGCGCGATTCCCCATTAAATCTTCAAGACATCCACAGCGAGAGCGTGATTCCTGAGTGTCGAGGGCGTGGCGTCTGAATAAACCGCAAGGATGTCCCACGCGAAAGCATGGTTCCTGCATTAGATTATGAGGAAGTCCGTCGCGAGAGCGCGATTTGGGAATAAATTGTGGGGAAATACAAGGCGGGAGCAGCTGTTGTTGTAAACCGGGGGCCAGGGGCACAGTTTGAGCAGGAAGACTTTCCCCCGTAAAAACACAGCGAGCCCCAGGAGAGGCACTTCAAAAAACACCTATGTTGCGCGAATGCGTGAGTCCTGCCTTATTCGCCAGGAAGTCTCGGGCGAGAGCGCGATCCCCAAGTAAAATATGAGGAAGTCCCAGGCGAGAGCGCGATTCCTGAATGGCGAGGTCGTGGCGCCTGAATAAATTGCGAGGAAGTCACACGCGAGAGCACGACTCTTCGATAGATTGCAAGGAAGTCCCTCGCGAGAGCGCGATTCCTCAGTAAATTGCGAAAACGTATCAGGCGGGAGCCGCTGTTCTTGTGAACCGGGGGCCAGGGGCACAGATTGAGGAAGACTTTCTTTGATGTATATATAACACAAAAAAAGTGCGAGCACCGTGGGGGGCACTTCAATATATATATATATATATATATATATACATATATATATATATATATATACATATACATATATATATACACATACATATACATATACATATACATATACACATATATATACAAGACTGCAGAGGCGCTTCGCGCCATGCACCTTGGTCCTTGAAGTTTGGAATGCAGGCGAAATGGCAGGAAGGCAAGCCGACAATTTAGCGATAACTCCTGGTTGCCTTTTCCGGCATCGCCGCTATAATGATGTTATTCGTTATCCTTCCTCCATGCTTATTGTTCTTTATTTTCGCCATACCCAGCGCATTCTCCCCATCCTCCTCGGCTCTTTTTTGCGGAGGCTCCTCCTTGGAGAGCCTCTAGGGGCCTCACAAAAGTTGTTTCCGGCTTTCTTATGGCCTTCTGGAGGCCTCCTGGGCGTATTCTGGGGGCCTCCGGGGGCTTCCTCGGGCCACCCTGTCTCCAACCGCCGTCTCCCTGAACGACCGAATCACGATTTGGAATTCTTCGGGGGGTGTCTTTGGGCCATCTTGGGCCGCCATGGGGCTCTCTGAGGGCCATCTTGGACCCGTGTTGTGCCGTTTTGGGGCTCTCTTGGATTGCCTGGAAGCCCTTTCGGACGGTTGTGGGGCGATTTGGGAGCCTCCCAGGCGGCTTCGGACGCCCGGAAGACCGCCGTCTTGGAGCGTCGGGAAGCCGAAAAGAGGAGAACCCCCAAATTCACCAAAAACCAACATAAAATCCATGATTTTTGCCGCGGGGGGCCTTCTTGGGAGTGCTCTTGGAGGCCTATTTGGGGCCGTCCTGGAGGCATCTTGGGCCATCTTGAGGTCACGTCGGTAACTCTTGGAGCGCTCTTGTGCTGTCTTGGGGGTCTCTGGGACGTCTCCGATGACCCCCTGATCGCCCTAAGTGTGCTGGGAAGGCTTGGCAAAACGCCTTGCGAGGCCCAGTGGCCGCTTCGAGGCCCGTCCGGAGGGCCCCAAAGCCCCAGGTCCCGGGAGTCCGGTTTTTTTTTGGGGGGTGGGGATGGGTTTTCCCCCCGCCCGGGCTTATAATAAATATAGGAATATATATATATATATATATATATATATATATATACATTACCGGAGTGCAGATCACCCAAAAATAGCACTCAGTAGAAAAAAAAGTTGAAAACTGTTCGCTCTTATCTGCTCGCGGGCCATTCGACACGTATATCCCAAACCCTCGATTTGAGGCGTATCTTTCTCACTTGCAACGTGTGTATTTCGTGCAGCACCTAAGGCAGGGACAGGAAGGACGGATGGAAGGAAGGGACAAGGGGGAGAAAGGAAGATGGAGCACAAAAGAAAGTAGCAGGCGGGGGGCTAGGAGCAGAAAACACGAGACAGGACAAGACGGGCAGATCAGGCGGGTGGACCCTAACAGGGAAGGAGGGCCCAGGCGGCCAGGTCGAGCAGGCGGGTTGCTGAAGCGTGCGTCCTGCATGAATCGCGAGCAAGTCTCGAGCGACAACGCGATTACCAAATAAATCGTGATTCCTGAATGTCGAGGGCGCGGCTTTTAACAAAATTGCGAAGAAGTCCCACGCGAGAGCGCGATTTCTATACAAATTGTGAGGAAGTCCCGCGCGAGAGCGCGACTTGGGAATAAAGTGTAAGGAACTATCAAGCGGGAGCAGCTGTTGTTGTAAACCGCTGACACGTCGCTTTCCCTTGTAAGAACAGGGTAATACTGAATTGTAAAAATGCAATGGTTACCAGGGAGGGGTGATCAACAACAATTAATCTTTAGATGTG